ATATAAGAAAAGGGAGAGAGTGAGCAGTATTTACCATTCCCGATAATTGTTCGACATCCATAAAAAATGCCAAAACTGCTGCAAGTACACCAGTCACTATAGTACTCTTCATCGGGACTTGAGTTTTTTTGTTCACATCAGAAAAAAACGATGGGAGTAATCCATCTCTGGCCATTGCCATAAGTATTCGTGGCTGAGAAAGATTTTATCGGTAATTTCACAAAATTATTCGAAGAAATAAATTGGATTGATCACAATATGGTTAATCTCCGAGCATGTTAAATGTTCAAATTACATGTGTATGCACAAATCTTGAGTAAATGAATCGAGTTGATTTATATATAAGGCTTAGCTGAAGCAAATTAACTAGATAAATAACAAATGAACAATGTCACTAACAATTTTACAAAGATTAATATATGTATGGTCCCAAATAAAACTATTTTTCAGAAGACAATGACTCAAATTCACATAATTTAGTAAGTTCAATATGAAATACAAAATTTATAGACGAAACAAACCGACAGTGCATAAATCTAATAAAAAGAAAAAAACAATTCTATGAGATCACCGGCTTTTTATCTAGTAAATTAAATAGATAAGTAACATATGAACAATGTCATTAACAATTTATAAAGATTAATATAGGTGTGGTCCCAAAAAAAAGAATTATTTTTCAGAAGACAATGACTCAAATTCACATAATTTAGTAAATTTAATTAAAAAAAAAAAAAAAAAAACAATTCTATGAGATCACCGGCTTTTATCTTTAGTACCTGTGGAAGGATTGAGCCCATCAATGTCGAACAAAGAGCAAAACATGCTCCAATGGTTATTATATACCTGCATTTAAAAATAAACCAACTTCAGGAAAATGCTCGATATAATGGAAAGATATCAAATGGTTATGCATTAAAGAGAAAGATCTACTTACGCTGCCCAATGAATTCCATGAGCCGAAAAAGCAGACGAGATAGGAGTGTCCGGGTCCATTTGATAATAAGGCACTAAACCGACAATTACTGCAGAAACTAACATGTAAAGGGTGCAACATATAGACAGAGCAAAACCAATGCCCATTGGCAGATCTCGTTGAGGGTTTTTCACCTTGTAAATGAAAAAAAAATATAATTATTCAAGCTTCCTAGTCAATATATTAAACGCTCTCGAAGATGAAAAAAAGGTTAAGCAAGACAATAACTCGTACCTCTTCAGCTGTACTAGCAACAGAATCGAACCCTATATATGCGAAGAACACAGTCGATGCACCAGCAAGCATCCCATCGGCCCCAAATGGAAAATATCTAGGAAATTTATAAATAAAAAAATCATATTTCAACGAGAAAAAAAAATGATAATGTAGTTAATAGTGTTGATGAGTATCGGTATTTAGATAGCTGTTCGGTTTAGTAAGCAACACCTCTTTTTCAAATATTATATATTCTAAAGGAACTATCTTTTAGGGGGGAAAAAGGAATAAAATGAAACAATTCAAACAAAATTCAAATACCCTGTGGGGAGTTCATAACCGGGCCACCCAGTCTTGAAGCCTAAATATCCACCAGCTATGATGACGAAAATCATGGCGCATATATTGGCAGCAGTGACTATTCCTTGGACAAATGTGCTCTACACAAAATCATGTGATAAGTAGGTTAAAGATGTAAATTTG